TCTTGCCTGATAGACTGATAGTATAAGCCATTATTGAATCTTGAGCAACATGTACTTGAAAAAGACGATCTGAATGTTGAGACTCGCCAGGCACCAGACTCGCCAGGCACCAAAGAAGTGAATCAGTGAGGAAACTTCTCTTCACTGTTGATATATTTTGATGGTCCAAAGAGAAGTGATATATTTTGATGGTCCAGCAGATGGTTCTCATCAGAATATGTTGATAGATGGTCCAAATCCCTCTGCTTTTGGATCGTTTTGGTCGGCTGGTTTTTTCCCCGCCCGGGAACCGTCAGCACCGGGCGGTGACGCAAATTCAGGCGTCTCTACCAACCACCGAGTACCGAAACCAGTTGCGCCTTGTGCTTGTCACCGGTACTCGCACAAGCGTCAGGGATACGAATTGGCGCGCGCCGGGGCCGGCGCATGTCATGCAAACATTTCCTTGATCACCAAGAACTTGTCCTATACCTTGACACGTTTCAGGAACTCATCCATGACCCTTGCTGTGATCATGGGTGGTTGTGAGCTAGAACTTGTGTTTGTGTTGCCAGATCAGAGGGTCTTTGGGCGACTGGTCAGATAGCCAGTTCACAACCACGGCAGTTTTTGTAACATGTGTGTTCTTAAAAAAAAAAAAAACGGTAAAACCGTGCCGCAGCACGAAAACACAGAATCTTGGCGCCAGATTCCTGCCCCTGTGGTTTGCATGACCGGCCGCCGTCGAGATTTGGCTTCCAGAGAGAGCTAAGACTCGAGATCGGCGGTCGGACACAGCGCTGTTTGAAGGCTGTTGGCGGCCTGCGGGGTCTGCAAGTCCAGCGATCGCGAACAGATTGCTAGTATATATACAGTATATATATGTCTTCAGGGAGTTGTGGTGATTTAAAGAATACTAGTAGCTGGGACTCTGGGACAGTTTTGTTGGTGGTTTGTATAGATAATCAATGAACTTAATGTTTTTGGTTTATGTTTTCGAGATCTTGACTTGCGAAGCTTCGCAGCGTGATATCGTAGTTTAGGCCTAGCTATATCATAAGCGTTGCCATTTTCCCAAGAATCATCTCGACCGCTCCTGTAGAAGTGTTTCGCAGGTGCATTTGTTTTTTGCACCTGCACGTGTATAGTTCGCAGACATGGAAGACCTAGACATGGTATTCCAACTGCAAGAGATGGCACCAAGAATGCACCTTGAGAAGAGGTGGCAGACATTGCATGCCATGTCCAGAGGCTGCGTGTCGCCTTTAGTCGGTTCTTGGCAGAGTTAGTTGCACATTCGAGGCAACGTGTTGGCTGGCTGTCACTTCGTGAGGCAACCAAAAAGGAAGGCTTTCACGCGGGGGTTTTGTAACAAGGAGATCCTAAGGAGACGGAGACTCAACCCAAAAGGGCCCAAAAAGTTCTATTATAGGACCAGATGGCTCTAATGTGGCATCAACACTGATGTGGTATCCTGAATTTGTGTGTCTGGCATCACCTGCGTTTTGCGAATAGGCAGAAGTGTACTTACTTGTTTGGAAAGAAACCCTCGACATTCTTAAATTATGCAGAATTGAGCAACAAAAGAATAACAAAAGAGCCTGTTTGTTAGTTGGGGGATTCTGATTGAGAACCCCACCCATTCTTTGAACAGGTTCCCACTCGTTCTTTTCCTGAACTTCTCTTCACTCACAGAACCAGCTATGATTTGTGCAAGGACCAAGACCTACGCTGCCCCAGTAAAAGCACCACAGCCAGGAGTCACAAAGGTGTGCCGAACTTGGAAGTCGGGGTGCCCCTGTCACATCCACAGCCCCTGGATGGGACGAGCCACACCACCCCGTTGGCTGTGACCCAAAGCATATCCCATATACTGGTGCGGGTCCCACACTTCTTGGCTGTGACGTTCCTACGCCGTTTGAACGTTCGCCTCGATGAACCGAAGCGCCGAAGCCGCTCTCGGCCATGCGCGCACGAGAGACCCCCCACCAGACCCCACCTCCATCCACCCAAAGCAGAGGAAGAGCTGGGAGATCTATGGATGTGAGTCGGCAGACCCCATCGTTGGTTTCAGTCATTTTTAAATATACGTTCTTTGGTGGATCGAACTGGTGGCCTCCCCATTCTGATTCTGATCGAACTGCTGTAGGTCCAAACTCGGGGACCGAAAGCGTTGACCACCCCAAATGAAACATAATAGACTGTCTACGTAGCTGAGGAAGGTCGGCCCAGGGTGGGTTTATTTCGGGCTCCGGGTGCGACCCACAGCCGGGGAAACCGCCGTAGTGTCAGAAGCACCTGACATTTGCCACATCCTGTTTTGGGGGTCTTTTTCTGGTGGCACATCTGCTGCAGGATACTTGGTCCTGCAGTACCAGGCATACCCGGGCGTTCGGCGCAGTTCGCCGAGCGGGAGGCTGGGAGGCTGAACGACCCAGTCAGTGGCTTGGAGCCATGTAGGCCAGAGCTCTGGCATTTGGCACAGGTCACACATTTATCCCATGATTCCAGACGCTCCAGGTATGGCATATTTATATATACATGGACCCTTGAAACCACCCAAATGTATGTTTCATGGAGTGTTTTGGGTATGGTCAGTTCGGAACGGCTCAGTTCGGCAGTTCCCATATCGTCAGTCGGTGTGGAGACACAGTGGCCTGCGTGGCCTGTGTCGCCAAATTTGGACGACAGATCGACATGTTGAATGATATTTAAAGGATGCCGCCATTGATGAATTGATGACCCTTTTCAAGTTGAACTAGAGAACGCTTTGATAATTTCTATAGAGTACACATTAGAGGCGCATTTGCCGTAGTGTTCAATCCGCAATTTCACCTTTCACCTCCCTTTGACCTTTGGCCTCTTCCAGCCCAAGCCGGTCTGCGAAGTGACCCACCAAACCGCCGGCCAAGGCATTTCCCGAAGCCACCACTCCTTCCCTGCGCCAGATACCGAGTGGACTGGCCCATCTCCCGTTTGAGCCGGTCGGACAGGCACCCGCTATGGCTACAGCATCGCAGCCAGTGGAAGGCACGACCGGGACCGGAGCTGAAGGCACCCGAATCTATCAAGGCAGATAGGGCTGGGGGCTACTGCTTCGGTTGATGTTTATTTCATGTTGTTAGTTGTTTCCCGAAGGTGGGTGAATCCCCTTCTGATGAACATGTTCTACTTGTTACTTGGGCGCGCAAGTTAGGAGTCGCCTTGCGTTTTTTGCGGAAACCAACTTCTCTTCATTCCAAGTTCCAAGAGTTGGTGATCAATAAGATGCTTGGCATTACTTCACCCAACATAGTCCCAGTGGGCCAGAAGGAACTCGTCATTGCCGGGGAACCCTCCCCCTCCCTCCTCCCCAAGGCGGCTAATTAGGGCGGCCCATTGGGCCGGGAGGCGATGATTGCGGATCCATCCGTTAAAGCGAAGGAGGTTCAAAATGTTCAGACGTGTCGCGACCATTTTCTTGGACCCACCGGAGATGAAGGGTCTGACCAGATCTGACCCTCAAGTGACAAGACTTGACAACCGCTTACACGAGACATGTTGGACAACATGTTATATTCAGTTGTTCGAGGTTCCCACCGGTTCTAAAAGTTGTTTGAGCCTTGTAAATATGCTCGATCCTCTACTCTTCCAAGACGAGTCATTGTCAGAACACCGTCATTCACCGTTCTTCATGTTCAAAGGGTGTGTGTGTGTGTGTTTCTTTTTCCTGGGGAGACCCTGAGTTTTAGTACTGATTCTAGCCCTTAAACATGAATCTTCGGAGTCGTCTCCCAATTCCAAAACACACCTTTTAGTCTGTTTGGCATGCATTTTGCTGCAATAGCTGCAGAAATCACTCCGTGGATCGCAACCCGCGCGCGTCCTTTTTTGCGCTCATGCTTTGCGCCAGGGAAGCCACTTTACCCGCATACCCGGCCTACAGCGTCGTGCCTGGGTGGTCAAGTTGGATTGAACTTCCGCTGGATTGATTTTTATCTACATGGAGCTCGTGGACGATCTATTGCGAAAATCTGTCTCAAACTGAGGAGATGAGTTACAAGCAGATTTGGTGTGTCAAGAATGTGTCAATGCTATTCTGTTGTGAGTGCTTTGTCAGGGACCCTGTAGGGGTTTATGTTGGGGTCAATGTAGGTCAAGGATGACCAGTCCCATTTGTCGTTTATAAAGAGGGAGTCACATAGACTCGAGCCTATCCACTTCTCGCGGAACTTGAGGGTCACCAGTGCCCAATCGTTCTTGTCCAACCCGAGTAGAAGGTGGACACATGTGTACACTCCGGTTCCACCGTTTCAAAAGACCCGATCAAACCGGGTGAACCATGGTGAACCTCGTAATTTCCCCGGCCTTTCCGTCTCTTAGAGACCTCCAGCAGCGAACTGGAACTGGCGCGGCTCATCAAAGCTCATCTTCAGTCCACCAGGTGCAGATTCCGCGCTCTGCGCAGCTGCCCGCGCAGGTCCCGACGCGGGTCCCGACGCGGGTCCCGACGCGGGTCCCGACGCGGTCGACGGGTCGGTCCGTCCAACTGGTCGGTGGTGGGGGATTTCAATAACCTTTAAACTGCTAAGGAGAGGTAACACTCTACTGATGAGGATTTCCTTACCGGATTGGGCGTTCATTGGACCCTGGGCCGCACCTTTGGTGAAGGGATGGATGGGCTGCCTGCTGAAGAGACCAAACCCGGAGGCGGGGGGGGAAGCTCGGAAAAATGCCTTAGAGTTTTAATGTATTTGTTCATTCAAAATTCCTATATACTTTTTGCTGGAGTTTCATGTTCCCTGGTTCAGCTTCAGTAGTCCTTGCGGAAAATGGTATGCTATGTCTCAAGTGGTCTTTTGGCCCTGTGGATAGGTTCCTCAACGCCCTAAGACAGTCATGTGATGCCAGTTTTCTTCACCCAGCGGGCTTTCAAATAATTTGAGTCTGAAGTCGTCTTTCTAGATGTTTTCAGCGTACTAAGGGGTCCGGGTCTAGAGATATTTCTATTTCAGTCTTGAAGAAATCGAGATCAGGGCCCCATGACTCTGAGCCTTCCCGGAAACTCCTCCATAAACCTTGTTGGAGGATTGCAGATTCACCTCGGACAACAGCAAGAGCATGGTTTTGATGAGCTGATGTTTCACGTCAATGCTTTGAATGCGGCTGTTTCGGGCCAATTCTAGGAGGCCATCGCTTCTAGGTTGGAGGCCATTGCTATTAGGTTGGAGGCCATCGCTTCTATAGGAAAACAAGCACTGTTTGACACCGGTCGTTGCTTCTCTCGACCGTCACGTGGAGGTTGCAGCCTCTGGTTGCTCGGGCACGTTTGGCATCCATCTCTGCAATCAGGGATGATCCATGATGGACGGGGGTGTGTTGCTTTCCAACAGAGGTTGAAGAATCCTATAGACTGTCCCATAGGTACCCCAGTAAGGTCCTATAAGGTCACTTGACCTCTGACTCTCTTGGTTGAAACAACTGCAACGGTACCGGTATACAAGTAAAGGACGGCTGTGGTACCCACAAGCATTAGGCCAACAAGTATAGTGTCTCAGGGCGGTGTGGCCATTGTAACGGTGTAACCTTGATTCTTTTTGCGGTGGTACCTTGATAGGTAGGGTTTGGTGTGTAATGAAACAAGAACACACATAATTAATTATGGTGTGTCCCATTAAAACCAGTAACAGTAGGTAAAACAACATATGGATGATGGGACACGCCTTCAGCCATCATCATACACTGCTGCTCGTGACGGGATATACCCCGCAACACACTTGTTGTTGTGTTCTTGTTGGCGCTGCTAATTTTTCAAGGGCCCAAGATGCCAATTCCCTTGCTTTCGCTCAGGCACCAGCTGAGCTTGAGTGTGAGTTTGTTACAGTATGTGTTCCAAAGAACAAAAATACTTCTGCTGGTCCTGAACCAGCGGTCTATGGCAGTGCTGGAGTTTTGTACCAAGACTCTTGACTCTTGAATTATTTCTATTTCTTTGCATAAGATGTTTTCATGTCTATACAGCTTCAATGCAGTGTTATTTTTCGCGATGAAGCGCGCGACCGGCCCACTCCACCATTTCTTTTTTGGCCAACTCCGGCCAAAACTGCAGCGTCGGCTGCCAGGGCATCCTTTCTTCCAGGCGCCACCCGGGGTGTCTTCCCAACCTCGGAGGTGGACAGGAAGTGATTCCACTGGACATGGACAAAGTCACTTTTTCTGTGGTTCGGAACTCCTCGGAGTTTGGGAAAAAAAAACTCCTGCTGAACTCTCAGATGGCATGAGTCTTTACATGTCTACTACACGTGAACACTTTTTGCACTTCTTGCATGAGCCATGGGTCTCGCCAGTAGCCTACTTTGCATGTTTAAACCCATGCCATTGGAAATCTCCAAACGTCAGCGCCGCAGGTTCCGGCGCGCTCGGCGGCCGAGCAGCGGCCCTCCTTACCCAGTTCGGGATGCCCAGGTGTCAACACCCCGGGAGACTGCAAAGCTGCTCATTCAGCGATGGATTCGGGATGTGCGACATTCGCAGAAGTGCATGATCCTGGTTGGTGAATACGATGGTAGGGCTTGTTTGTTGCAGAGGTCGGGGGAGAGTTTCTAACTTCCTGGATCCTGGACCAGATGAGACTGGATTTGCTCTGGTACACAGAAGGTGCACTTGGTATTTGATATGCTAAGGTGTCCTGGGCCTTCTCCTCGCTGATTGATTTGACCAGCGAGAGAGGTTGTGAACGAATCCGGAGTCACCTCAACCTGTCGCTAGTGTTGCTGCAAGCTGTTGCTGCAAGCATTAGCTTGGTGCTGACCCACCCGTTCTGGGATAAACAGCTCACTGGAAAGTGGTGGAATGAGGGTTTAAATGAACGCTTATGTTCCCTACCAAAATTGACCGATCAACACCTCAAGTACCAGCACCACGGATTCCGGGTGTCCATTGATAGCCCCTTACAGGTCAAAGTCAAGGGATTTCCATGAACCACCCTTTGGGGTCCAGGTATATACGGTTTCCAATACATTTTTAGTGGGGATCTACTTTTCTATCATTTTCTATCTATTTGGGGGTCTATAGATACTCCCGATGTTGTGGCGGCCATTCTCTGAGGCCGCCCCTTTGCCATGGAGGCTCGTGGAGGGCATTGGCCAACGCAGCCGCAGCGGGTGAGAGGTATTGAGATGTACCAATTTTCGTCAGGCTGTGGTAGTTCGCTCACGGAAGACAAGGTGTTTTCTTCTTGCTTGATGCTGTTGCACCTTCCGCTACCCCTCCGAGTCACAGTCCTCCCTTTCTGAGTCACTGCCTTCAGATCTGCAAAAGTGTGTTCAGCACTTGGTGTATACTTCTTATCTCGCCCCTATCCGCGATGCCTAGTGCCCCATGTTTGTCGACCAACATGCTAAAGTGGCTTTGCGGCGAGCCACAGGGATCTTCGGCCACGCGGGGATCCACCAGCCCGCAGCAAAAAACACTGCACAATAAATGATGTTCACCGTTCTTCCAACAGAGGTTGAAGAACCCTATAGACTACGCCAGTTGGGTACCCCAGGTTGCGGTCCGTTCGTTCACGTCACTTGACCTCTCTTGGTCAAGTTTGGAGTGCTCTAAAAAGTCTTATCAGACTGCCATCAGCTCTAGAAACCGTTGCCGTCCTCGGTGACCGGTGACCCCAGCGACCTCCGGCGGCCACTGGCCGAGGCGACTGAGACGATGGAGCGGAGCCTGCGACCGTCCAACCTGAACGCGCCACTTGGACCGCGGTCAGCGGGGCTAAGGAAGGCCTTAATATCCAGTGGCCCTCAAAACCATGAAACATAAAGGTTTTCAGATATACGCTATAGGCCTCCAGGTAAGTACCTTCTGAGGTTTGGTGGGACTGGGGTGGGATGGGTGCCAGGAAGGTCTAGTCATACCGAACCTGAGGAGGTACGACTGGAGGTGTAGGGAGTTGGAGGAGAGATGAGGAGAGGACGAGTTGGTCTTGGTGGTGAGGTCTAGGAAGGTTGGATGTTGGACAAGGTCACCAAGTATGTTGAGGTCCGGAGAAGGTACTTCGAGTGTGGTTTGAGAGGTCTACTCGTAGTGACACAGTCTAACACAAAGTGAGCTTGGGGTCATGGGGTGTTGAATCAAGAATTGGTGAACCCTTGAATTAAGGACACATATTGTGGGCTCTTGTCATGCCCGATGCTGCCTCAAAAAGGTTTTCACTTTGGTAGACCAATGAGTAATGAGACAATAAGCGGTGAACATCAGTGAACCGATTTGGGCAATCTAAGCTTTATTGGCTCATTCCCTACACCTCCAGTCGTACCTCCTCAGAAGGTATTTAGATCCTCCTGGCGCCCATTCCAGTCCCACCTTCTCAGAAGGTACGACTGGAGGCCTAGGGATTAATACTGTCAGTTTCTCTTGGCAGACCCGTAAGATCCACCATCCCACGGCGGCCTGCCTTCCGATCGATCCATGTCGATGTGCCGTGGCGGCTGTAGAGTTCACGGTGAACTCTACGGCACCGTGAACTCTACGGCAAAGTCCATGGGTTCCGCGGCTTTCTCCGTGGATTGGAGCACGAACCAACAGATATCCAACGAAAATGGTAGGACCGAGATCCGAGTTGGTAGGAGGTAGGGGGGGCGGGACCGTGTAGGACCCCAGGTCCTCCACGAGTTCTACTCGGCTCTGCAGGATCGCCAATGGAAACCTCCCGCGGCTCATGGGTTTGAACCCGTGCGGGGTTGCTCCGCGTGCGGGTGAGGTCGATCAGTGCCACCTCGAGGCAATGGACGCATCCGTGGCCAAGTATGACAGGCCTGCCCTCCCCACCGGTCATCGATGAAGATGATGAAGACGTTTGACTCCCGAACTGTTTTGCTGGATATAGATGGATATAGTTATATAGTTATTATGGTGTATATGGTTGCAAAGTTTTGGAGGCCGTTTCTGAGGCTATTCCAGCGTTCAATGATTCAAGCACATTCAAACTGTTTGTTTTCCAGCCTGTTCATATTTAGTTGCTTAGTGGGGGAATGTGGGGGGACACCCCACTCCACCAAAAAGCTTTTGGAGGTGACCAACGGTACTTCCGTAGGCCCTCAGACTTCGCTCCCCACGGATCGAGTCACTCAGATCCGACCAAACCAAGTCTGGCAGACTCGTGGTTGACCTACATGTTCATTTCCATGTATGACTCTGGTGTTTGTGATGATCTGTGGAAGGCTTCTTCTTCACTGCACCCATGAAGAGCGTGTCTGGAGAGACTCCTTTTTGAGCTGTTCTATCTACTCGAAAACAAGTGTATGCAATGCTTATCCCACAAACACTCCATGTATGGCATATTTACATATATTGGGGCTGTTTCAGGGGTCAATGTAGGTAAATATGCCATACATGGAGTGTTTGGGTATTACACTCAAAGAAGTTCAAAGGAATCGACCCTGCAAGTGGAGAGCATAACTCCCACAACTCCATGGGATCCGAGTGGCCCCCAGCCCAGGGCCCAAGGCTTTGTCCCTAGCTTTTGTAATATGTCCCTACACCTCCAGTCGTACCTCCTCAGGTTCGGTATGACTAGACCTTCCTGGCACCCATCCCACCCCAGTCCCACCGAACCGAAACGAAGGTGCTTACCTGGAGGCCTATAGGGTATATCTGAAAGCCTTTATGTTTCAAGGTTTTGAGGGCCACTGGATATTAAGACCTTCCTTAGCCCCGCTGACCGGCTCGTGGCGGCTGACCGGCCCGGCTCGATCCCTCCGAAAATTTTGCCGGTCAGGCGGAGGCATGGCGTCCCCAACGCTGACGGCCTCCAGATTCGTGGCGCCGCCCCGCGTTCCTGGGGCCAAATGGAGAGAGAGGTGAGAAATTTGGGGAGTTGGTTGGGATTGACAGGATTTACACTTCAAGTTGATCACTGAGAAGTTGGAGAGGTTGGATTAGTGTGTCGTAGGGCTGCAGCCACCCAACCATGTTATGGTCAGACTCCGACGGCCACCCTCCAATCCCTCCTCAAACATTTTCTCAGGTGGTAGTTGGACCTGAATGTCCCCTACAGGTCAGACGACCCCAGTCTCAATTTGTCTTTCAAGAGTAGCAAGAGTGGTATGGAGCCTTGCTAGTTTGTGAAAGGTTGTGGGTTTCTGAATTGCGACAAACGTAGAGTATACTCACGTTCAGATTGACCTTCCCTATATAGCATCCTTCATCCGAGTTGCATTCCTTATTTCAAGTGCCTTTGCGTATCTCAGCATTGCAATGCATCTTGCAGTTTTCAAGGCAGGCAGAACCATCAAGCTTCTTTCATCCGAGTCAGCGCTTTGACACTTGCGCCCAGGTCACCTATGTGCAAACCCAGTCAGACCTCCAACGGCCCGTCTCCATGCTGCTCCCAGCCTCCGCGCCGGCCTCCGCGCCAGCCGCGCCACCGGCCAAGCGCGCGACCGCGCCGGCGACGTTGACGGCGCCGGCGCTAGCAGCGCCCATGATGTGAGGAGCTCGGAAGTCCAGAAGGAACAGAAGGGACTGACAGATCCGGTTCGGTCGTTTGGAATCCCAGACACTGTAAACGGGATAGAGGCCACGTAGGCCACGGCTCTGAAAAAAGACTATAGGAGACACACCTGTATATAGAGGTTCAGAATGGTGAATTTGGAGACACGTGATGAGATAGGCCACATGGGTTCTTCAAACTTTGTAAAATACTCGCCTTCACATAGTAGTAGCTTTGTCCACCATCAGTTGTTCGTTGTCGGCTTCGTTGGCAGGTGACATTGGTTGGGCCCACGGTTTTTTTTTTGGGTTTCTTTATTCCAGGGTTCCTTGTTTGAAACCATGTCCTGCCGCCTTATCTGGGAATCTGGGTGGCGGGGCCTCAGATATGCTATGATTGAAGCCACTGACTGTCACTGACTACTTCTTTTTTGGTGTTGTGTGCGTTGAAACCACACCACCTCATACGTTTTGTGCCTTATTGTGCCCACCATACGGACCCGGACCCAACAACTCCGATGCGTGGACCCCGCAGAAGGTCGGCTCGGCTCGCCGTTCGGTCGGTGGGTCGATTCTCCCAAGGCCCAGGGCATCGATGCCGGCCGCCAGGCGACGAGACGAACCGCCCTGACGGATGGAGGGGTAGGACGAGCGGTGACGAGACCGGGTCGTGTCTGACCTGGATTGGGGTTGGTCATGGTTGGTCTCCGTGGTTTCGACCGGTGCTTGTTCGGATATTAGAGATCATACATGCCATATGCGACCGGTTGGTGGGTGGTTGGGGTGGTGTGACTGGTGGGTGATTTTGTTGGTTGGGCATAGATTGATGATCAGTGGATTGGGGTGGATTCCACACCCTGCGATGTCTCTGTAAAGTTAGAAACGATAATGAGAAGATTGGATTCTGATCAGTGGATTGGGGTGGATTGGGGTGTTGTCTCTGGAAATGAGAATGAGAACACAATTTAGAGAGCGCCACGTTTCATTGACGAGACTAGTAAGTCTTCCGAAGTGATGCAGCCGAGAAATACTGCCAGATATGGGACCTCCTATCCGGCTACTGCCTGGACCATGCCTTCTGTGCGCACGATGCCTGTGTGGAGCCACAGTTACCCAGTTCGACCCACTCAAGCCTGTGAAAAGTAGCTCGTTTTTGGTTTCTCCAATCTAGGGCTTTGGGGAGTGAAACCATATGTTTGTTCTCATAGTGAAAGAAGAACTGCCACTGGCAGCTGTTGTCAGTTGCCAGCATGCAGAACCTTTGGCAGATGACCTCCCCCAGTTCAAAAGAGGGGGAGTCTGGAGAATGTCCACCAGCTTTAGACGCCTTGCAGAAGCGTATTTGGCAAAAGTAACTGCAGTGGGGAGTTTGTGAGTTCCTTGTAAATGCTGCTCACCAACTCAGTCAACTGAACTTAAAACCGCGTTGTTCTTATATGAATCCCTATGATGTTTGGACTTCTACCATCCATCACTTCCAGCCATCCCTCTCAAAACCATCCGAAAACCCGCCCACCAAGGCTCATGCTGCACCGGGCCACGCCGGGGCGTCTCAGTTCACCCAGAACTTCCGTTTTGACTCACAGTCGTAATCCACCACGGATGCCCATCTGCATCTAGCCAAAAAAGGGGGTTTTCCATGCCTGAACTCTCAGGGTAACCTGTTGGGCTCAGCCTGAACGGTGTGAAGATTCTTCACACGGTTCTCATGGCATTTCAGGGATGCAATGCTGTTCAACAAAGCAGCAACGTGGGGATCAAGCTATAGAGATTCAGACTTTGTATTGTCCCACGGGAAACTTAAGAACGCCCTCCACACCTTAGCCGTGGAGCAGGCTCCATGGTTTGGTTGAATCCATTCTGGTTGATCCATTCCAGTCTTCCTGAGACTGTGGAGCACCAGAATGAATCAAGATTGAGCACCCCAGTCCCTGGTTTGTCCCTGGTCTTGTGCTTCTACATTTACTCCCAGATTTGTTGCTTTCTGGGATGTGACCAAGCCTCTTGGAAATGTCTCAGCTGTTTTTCGGGGCAAGATGCACCGTCAAGTGCAAGACCTCCAACATGTGTACAGTAACGCTTCTTGTTGGTTCAAACCACAATCCCATAGACTCCATGGGACTGCCTCTATGCCTACATTGACCCCCCTGGCACAACCCCTGGTCCAATCGGCCTGTATGGCAATCCCACCGGGTCGCGTCTGGGAATGTCTTCGATGTTCATTCAACACATGACCGCTACTCCAAGAGAGGTCAAGGGACCTGAACTAGGACCTTACTGGGGTACCTATAGCCTAAGTTTCTTCCACCTGTGTTGGCTGTACCCCACGTACTACGCACTCCACCTCGGCCACCCGGACCGTAGGCTTGCCGGGCCTACGGTCCCAGCCTCGGCCGGGCCGGGATTGAAGCACTGGAGAGGTCTTCTGGTCTGAAACAGCTTCGGATAGGAGATCAGTATGGGCGGGTTTGGCTCCACTGCGTTTTCTTGAGCTGTGGCGAACGGACAGATGAGCCGACGTCGCGCTATGGTTTTCTTGCAGAAATTTGAGGGTGTTGGGCCAACTCTTGGGCCCTTTGGGCTCTAGAGATGTGGCTGGCACCTGGTTGTGTGTACTAGAGTCACTCGGGTTCCAACTTACAAGCCGGAATGCCTGCTGACTTGATCTCACTCATCTATTCCTGACACTCCATTTGTGGAATATATATATATATACCTCATTGACCCCCGAAACCATCCCAACAATGTAGGAAAATGGTATAGGCAAACCACATTGCATCCACCCAACAAACAGCAAGACATCAAAAACACATGGGCTGTTGTAATAACCCCGCGCTCAGCGGTTTAGTATTGGCATGCACCTTAACACTACTAATGCATTCCTACCCCAGAAAACAATAAGAGTAAAATAACGATAACAATTATATATTATACCTGCACATTCAGAACAAACAGCTACTAGGGGCTCCTGGCCTTACTACTAGAAACAAGAAGCTGCTAGGGACTGCTGGCCTTACTACTAGGAACAAGAAGCTACTAGGGCCTTACTACTAAGAACAATAACCAAAAGCTACTAGGGACTCCTTGCCTTACTACAAAGCAACATCAATACCAGGAACAAGAAGCTCGTAGGGGCTCCTGGCCTTACTACTAGGAACTGAATGGGCTGTTTGGTCCATATGCTGCAGCTGTTTACATGAACCACGAAAATGGCAACCTGCAGAGGTGTCCGGAACGACAACAAAACGATAACGGAAACGATAAGGATATGTAGCAAAAAGCAGCCCTGGTGGGCAAGTACCCATTTGACTGTTTTCGTTACTGTAGACCTTTTGAAGGGCAGAAGTGTGCGATGTGGTAGTCTTGTTTAGCTGTCTAAATCTGATCTTTGCTGCTGCCATGTCTTTACCACCAAAGACGGTGTACGCCTTGGTACAGGCAGTGCTACGGGATCCTGAAGTAGGACCATGTAGACCACCAAAGGACATCTTTTGATTTGTGATCTTCCACCAAAGATGCTTTCACCTGAGAAAACGATAAGAGTAGAAAAAGCGATGACATGGTTTCGAGGTATTGCAAAAGACACTGGGTTTTTACAACACCCCACATAGACATCCCAATCCACTCGATCCTTTCGACCTGCGCCGGCCAGCCCTGAGCACGTCGCAGGTTTGGCACCTGCTTCGCAGGTGGCCATGCAGGCTCAAGCGCGTTTCCCGTCGCTGGGACCTGCACCGAGCTATTATCCCTCAAAGGCCCACCTTTGGGCCACACACAGGGTGTCTATGAATAGCCCCAAAAAGACGTGAAGCGGTGTCCATTGGTCCATGAACACCGGTTCTCGGGGTGCTGGTACGAACTGTTTGTTGGTTGTTCGACGTGAGATTGTTGTATAGATGATGTTCACCTGGAGGTACACTTTTGTGTTGCCGTGACACTATACAAAAGACTATTAATATCGATTAACTACTACTATCATAGGTGATGTTCACCTGGGGTGTGGGCGGTTTGGGCGGTTTGGGTTGAAAGAACTCTTCATTTATCATCCGTTGGTTTACTCGTCATCAAAAACAGCAGGACCAGTGGTTGGTGCCATTTGGAGACCAACAATATCACATGCGACCCCCACGCGTCTACCAGACGGTTTCCGGTCGGAACCTTTGCACCCTCAAAAGGAGCGGCGGTCTTCCAAGGTTCCTCAACACGTCAGTGCGAACAGACAAGACATCTATGACATCTATGGTTTGAGGCGATCTTCCAGAATCTGAAAAAGAAGTGAACAGGCAAGTCTACAAACCAGGAGGTGGGAGGAAGTTTGGGCTAAGGGGCATGCATCATAACATGGAGGAACATGGCCCTTTATCAGCTTCTCAACACGCTTTCTGGTTGAAATGATTTGAGCAACCAAAAAAAAAATGAATGTGTGGAAATGAGCCTTCGATCTGAAGAACGACCACATGACTTGGCAGACGGAAGTCGCCATCGGCTGGAGCGTCCACTGGCCCCACCACTGAGGTTGCCCGTGTGAGGCCCGGAACCGTGGGTCGTTTCGGCGTTCGCCGAAGGGACGAGCCGAGCCGAGCGCAAGCCAGTTCAGCCTGGCCTCATTTGCTATGCAACCAGCCAAGTTCGGCAGACATGTTACATAGTTGGAGAATTCAATGATCTGGGGATAAACCATTGCACTGGATCTGCAGACTGTTGACTCACCAGCTAGATCTGATCAGAGGAGCAGAATTCAATCATACTCCAATTGAGGAATGTGAGTCAAAGATTTGGCCAGGTGGACAGATGCTGAGTAGAATCTATGCTGATGTCCTCAGCACCATATGAGTGCTGGGTTCGCCACGGGCGCGTTAGCATGCTCGCAACGCCTTATGCTATGTCTCCTCCGGTCGCGGATCTGCCCAGATCTTGAGTGCGCTACGGGGGCAGAGGTGCAAAGAAGCACCAGCAGAGATTGGCACAGTCCGGTTGTTCGGGACGAGTGGGAGGGTTTGAATGTTTACCAGGGGTCTGGAAATTCCCCCAATGTAGATTCTCCGGTCTACCAGTCCCATGGGATTCTTTGCGGTGGTCCGTCATGTGTTAAACTCATCAAGAGTCTAAGTCAAGACATCTAGTCGGAAGATATCCAAAACATCCCCAGTTCTAGGTGAACCCACCACACTTACTGCAAGATTATTTTTTTCTGACATCCATGCATCTGAACCAGTGGCCAAGATGGCGGAGAATCCGAGGGAATTGATTGTTCCAGTATCTTACAATTCCAAGAGCTATAGAGTTTACACGTGGCTTACCTGGACCCTGAAAGATCGTGATTTTATGGCAGCACATGAAACACTGTCTTGAAAAAGGAGGACCCCGAAGGTGTTGGCAGGACTGCAGTGAGGATCTGGCATGATAGCCCATAGATGTAGGTGCTGGACTTTGTTTGCCAGGTGTTTTTTTCTGTCTGTGATGATCCCTGGCCGCACCTAGTGGATCTCCCAGATGTCTTTCCGTTTCTCTTTGGGTTAGGAATGCCTGCGCAAAACGAACCTTGGGACCACCTCTAGGTCTGCTGAGTATGGCTGACACCTTTGTTTGGACATGTTTGGACCAAAAATGGGTCATCCAACGCCACTCGGGACCTCAACAGAGCCCGCATCGAAAGACCTTTTGGAGCTGGGTTTCCACCAATGACGTCGTGAAATCCGTGAGATGTGCAGTATAAGGACGTGTCGAGACGCGGTGTTTGGTGGTTTTTCCACCGGTCGCAATGCAGGTGACTGGCTTCGGGCTGCTTCCTCCCACGTGCTTGGTATTCGCCGTCCTGCAGTGACTGGCTTGGTACAGTAGCAGGTGTGAAAGAGTCAGAGACATCCATACGGCCGTGGTGAGGCTGTGAGACTCTAGCCCGGTCCGCAGCTCGTCACTGCGGCAGGTCGTAAGCCAAAACAGATTCTGAGCAATGGACATCATATCGTGCAAATCACAAGAGAGCCACAGATGGCAGAAGTCAGTCATTTGATTAGTCCTCACAACCGACACAACACGGACGCTCTACTTGCGCTTTGCCCGCAAGTTGCGAACGAGGCCCGCTGGATGAGGAGCCGCGTAAGAAGTAGTCAACTCCGAGAAAGTAGGGTGGGGATTGATTGATATCATTTGTTCCCAATTGCCAGTCAGTTCCCATGATATAAGCATCGCAAACTTTGAGCTCCAACTTGTCCCTTGTCGTTACTCAAGGTAAAACCCTTCTAAATGGTGTGGCAAATGGATGCAAATGGGACATCAGCACCTCTTGGGCGTCATTTGGGGTACTATATGGATGGAGACTCCATTTTGAAAGAAGCGCACAAACATACAATGTGTATTTGCTGGTCGGGTGATGTTTATGATCCCCAGTGGTGCATCCCCTTTTGGGACATTTTCTTTTAACGGTTCCTTCAGCAAATCCGAGAAAAAGCACGTGAACACCAAGCCTCCTTGTGCACCCACGCCGCCCCGTAGCGCAGGTGCCATGGACACCGAGGCCGGAAAGACGTGGTGAAGTGACCCCAGACCACGGCGAGGTCGACAGATGTTCTCCAACGGCCGGGAAAGGAAGGAACCCGGATCCAAAAGCAATTCCGAAAGGACACTCCGAAAGCAAGAGACCTCCAGAGCTGGGGGTTTGGTACCTTCAAAACCCTATGAGTTGCTTCTGGTCGGGATCCTTTGGGAAACCGAACACCCATATATCCTTAGCACGGTCAACCGCAGGCAGAACCGCAGTTCCAAAGGAGCTCTTTTCTCGGTCCACTGTGATTGGATGTGACATTCGGACACTCAACTCCCCTACACCGACTTCGTCGTTCTTCCCGTTTCGGTTCGGGATGACTGGACCCGAACCTGGCACCCGGGCCCCCACCCCAGTCCCACCGAACCGAAACGGAGGTGCTTACCTGGAGGCCTAAGGCTCCATGGAATGGGCGACCGGAGTCTTGCTGTCTTGGTGTTTCCCCCAGCGCGTGCGCGCGCGTTCCAGCGGGCCAGACGGTGGACAAAGCTTATCAGCTCTGCCGGAAGTTGGACACTGAACGCCGCTTGCTTTGAGGAATCGCGGAGGGCAGAAGTGACGTCACATCGTGCCGGTCAGAACCTTCTCAGCATTTCTCAGCTAGATGTTGAGATGATTTAGAGCAGATTGCTCGGTGCAGATGGGAAAGCTTGGGAACTTGCAATGTGTTTTTTGAAAAACACATCGCTCGCAGCAAGGGTCTCCAAGTTTGGTGTCCGACCTCCACCTTTTTGCTGTGCCGGTCACCGCCGGTCACCCGTGGGACCCGCTGGAAGCCTAAAGGGCTAGATCCAGGGTATGGTACCGGTACCAAGCAGTATGTTTGAGCCACCTGGTGAAGCAAGTGTGCAAAGCATTGCCAAGGGGGCCAGGGGAATGAGACTTGGAGCTTTGCGGAGAATGGTGATTGCAAGGCCAACTTTTCAAAAAGAGCTCTGAAAGATGCTTTTTAAAGTCTCTAACAAATCAACATGGACACCTTGCTCGCGTCATGACCAAGCCTTTCCAGTCAACTCAAGAAGGTACGACCTTGTCAGAGCTCTCGTCAGAGCTCTCGTGTGGCAAGTCTTCAACAGATTCACCATGTGCGATTTAAGGCCTCCACTTCTTTGCAAGAGAGGTCAAGTGACCTGAACGAACGGGCCTTACTGGGGTACCTATAGTCTATAGAGTCTATAGGCTTCTTCAACCTCTGTTTGTTTCCCCGGGGTGGACAAGAACCGAATGCTCGCCCCTCGATTCACCGACCGTCGACCGTTCCTTCGGCCCAGGTGACGGGGCGCTGGTCTTTTCGAAGCTCCAAGCGGTCTTGAAGGAGGCGGGGACCGACGTGGCCGCCTTTCGATGGGGATCGCCACGTTTAGTTAGAAACATATATAATAGTTAAACTATGGGCCAAGATCTCTGAAACACCCTCCCAAAAAAAAAATGACTTTAAATGCAGCGCATCCACCCCACATGCCTCCGGCTCGTGGGAATATGGGCTGTTCGAAGCTGTTCTTGCGGATCCAATCCATTGGGAAGACTGTCCATGTTAGCTAGCAACTTTCGTGGACACTGTCTTGGACAATGTAACAACATCAGGACCGGAGGGCGAGGGTCTACGAAACCCTAAATGACCCCGTTGAATCGACTCTGACCGGAGGGCGCCCTTGGCCTTGGACCGATCCTGAAAGAAGGAGAAGCTCGAGCTCGGGCGGTTTTCGACGTCATCGACCCCTCAAAGAAGGTGTGACGTTAGAGATCGCTGTGATGCCAATAAGATTGCATCAATCACCAATCGTGGCAGTGGTGGAACACCAACAGAGTTGCTCTATGTTGCTCTCAAAGATTTCTATGACTCCATAAGATCCCATCAGGACCCCTATCAAGTCCTTAGAGGTGATTCTATGCACATTTCCATACGCCGCATGGTTTCGTGCTTCAACGAAATCGGCCTCCAGTTCCATCACTTCACCTGACTTCAGCCACTTTCTTGACACCCGGCCTCCGCATCCATCGCCCTGAACTCATCTCGTCTCAACACCGACCTGTCCCACTCCGATCCGGGCCGGGGTGCCCAGCGACTCGCTGCATGGGTTCGAAGACCTACAGCTCCAGTCGTACCTCCTCAGGTTCGGTATGACTAGACCTTCCTGACACCCATCCCACCCCAGTCCCACCCAACCGAAACGAGTTCGGGACGACTGGAGGCCTGGCCTAGGGAGATGGATTCGTCCGACGGTCGTCCCACCGTTTCGGTCGTGCAAAAAGGATGCGCTCCTCCTGGGTCATGGACCCAGGATGACGGTGTCCAAGCAAACGCACGAGTTGGTGTGCCTCGTCCAACGGGACAGTTCGTTCAAACAGTGTTTGGTGGTTCGCATTCTACATGTCCACAGTTTCATAGTTTCCATAGTTTTGTGAAGGATTCACCCAATTGCCAACTCGCGCATCTGAAGTGAATCTTCGTGCACGACTAGGTCACAGAAACTGGACCGTTTAGTCTCCGTTTGTGTGCCGCTGCATCGTTTTTCACGGCCAGGTGTGTCCCGAGGCGGATGACGAGGAGATCAAAACTTTGATCAGGTGGGGAGTGATTAGGTGGGGTTGCATACTGTCGAAACACCCAGTTCACGTGAAGAACTTCGTTTTTGCAAGCTGAAGACTTTCTTTTGTTTGATTTTCCTTGGTGCAGGTAGGCTATTGACTGTGTTCCCCAAAATTCTTGAAACCCAGAGTGCATCAAACTTGTTGTTTTCACTATACTGTTGCGCTACACTACAGCCTCAGCTGATAACTCAATGCGCATTGCTTCTTGAAGGCCCTGTACACACCCATGGCTTTGGGTGTCCTGCTTTTGTAGTTTGAGTAGGAATCATAGGGATACCTTTCTTCGATGGTTTTCGGGTGACCATGACCATTCTTTTTTTGTTGTGCTCATCCCCAGCGGGAACAAGTGCAATGACACCCAGTGTTTTTTGCTGCAAGAAGTACTGGAGACC